TTTGACTGTGGGAATGAGTCGTCTTGATGGTGATGGGAAGAGAACATGTCCAACTGAGTTAGTACGGACTGAGTGCCATGACTTGAGGTGACGATGCGAACCAAGAGCGGAAAATGTGCAAGGCGGGTGGACGGGTGCACGTTTGATCAAAAAGCAAATTGAAGGTGGTTTGAGGAATGAGTGGCCTTAGCATGGAGCATTAAGAACCGATGAGAATTTGGCATGTGCGATGCGGTCTCGAACATCTCCTGGAGCCACTAGTGTTTCCACAATTCTTCTAATCTCATTTGATCATTCATTCCAGCACTGCTTCAAACTGCGGCTACTGGGGGACTGATGCAGTCACTTAAACGACAGTGGTCATTTGAACCAGCTTTCTTGCAAAACACTCTCATAGTAGTTGGAGAACGCGTCCACTGTTTAGATGGAAAAATCGCAATGTGTGCAGCATCACCAAAGGAGTGGTATTGTTGATTTTCCCCATCGCTAGAACAGTGTCTGTGAGAGTGTGGCTGTGATGTGCAAATGCGTAGGCAACTTCTAGTGGTACTGGTGGAAATGATCATTTACGTCAGTCAAAATGCCAATTAAATTGCATGATTCTACTTCTGAAATAAGTTTTGTCGTGCGATTTGTGAATTATGATTGTGAGAATATTCGTTGGCAAAAGAGGACGCTTTTGCATTTTGTTAATTCGTTCAGAGAAAAGTAAACTTTGCCAACTAAGGATGCTGGAATCACTTGCATGCATGACGAGGCAAATAATTCAGCCTGGCGATTGCAGTGTCTCCTTTACCGTCACGGCGCTTTGCTTTAAGTCTAGACTGCTTCATCAATCTCGTGTCTCGTTTAAGGAGGTTTCTTACTGAAATGTATTACGGCATTTGTAGCAGCACTCGCGAGTCATCATTTGCCCTGTCATGAGGCATTACATAATGCATATTTCTTTCTCCCGCTTTTGGCTTGGAATTGAATTAACCGCCAGGCATAGTGCAATCCTTAGCAAATATGGGTAGCAGTGAGAAGGACCCCCTTATGCAGGTCACTGCAATCAGTGGTGGAGAAGCATATGCTTCTACAAACATGTGATACGATGTGTACATACATCCGTAATAGACGGTGTTCAGTATTCCATCATTTGATCATATCTATTACCCAAACTCAGACTGCTCTAAAGATTTATGCAAATTTGGCGTTGTGATTTCATAGTTGATGTTTGAGCACCACATTTTTTCGCTGAAGTCAGGCACTGCACGATCTGTGTGAGTGGTGAAAAAACGGGTTTCACAGTGCGAATGTGGCTAGCCTCGAGGTACACCAGCCGCGCACCCCACCACTGCAATTCAGCCTCTCCTGTAGCACGTGCCTTCGAAGGGAAGGTTAATGCGCTTTCGCCTGCACCACAGTCGCGTGACCAGTTGCACATCTCTGCACCGAACATGCCCCCACAATTACTTCAATTTAGATGAGTGTGCTCGCGTAACTTCACCATCAGCTTAGGAATAATCTCACGGCATCTGTTGTGCATAGAGACCAAACAGTCGTACAGTTGAAGATACGAGCTCCCTCATTCTCAGCTCTAGATGCGCAGAGCACCCTTCATTGTTCATGAGCAGGTGTTTTGCTGGGAATCACTGCCGTTACCTCATCTTCCGGTGCTATTCTACCTCTCCATTCCCACTTTTCTTCCACAAAATGTCACTTTGTTCCACTAATTCTTGCATTTGATAAGGCGCGCTTTGCCAAGAGCCCCTTTCACTACTTCTCTGACGACACCTTGCTTGAATTGACATTTGGTCCCAGTCAAGCTGATGATCCCCGCCGATTACTTTAGCTGTGTAAGTATCTTCTTTGCAGGCGTCACCATATGCCTTACTACAGGAAAGTGTTGATGTGGGAAAATATAATAAAACGCAGGAATGCGTTGGAAAAGGAAGTGCTCGCAAAGTAGAGCCAAAACATGCATTGTGAGGATTGCAACTGCCTGAGACATTGGAGCGAATTTGGCGTTGAATTTCTATCGACGATGTGTGGACACACTTCATTCCCCTTCTGGAGTAAGACACTGCCCACCCTGATTAAGCTGTGGATGCTCTGTTTCATAATGCAAGTAGAGTTAGCCTCAAGATATATCAGTCTGCTTTGCATTCGTTTCAACTCAAACTTTTTCGATGGCACGTGCTTCAATAAATAAAATTTACTGTGCATTCACCCACGTCATGGTGGTAAGGTAAGTTGTGCAACTTTGTGTCGAATACACCCACACGACAATTAACTGCAGAGGGGTAATCTGGTGCAACTACACTCTCAGCTCTATGCTTACTCCTTCTCACCCACTGTGTGTGCAGACCGGGCAGTCAGGCGTGTGCAACCGAAGGTCCTCTTGTTCTCTCTTGTGACAGCATATAACGTTCCTTTACTGATTGGCAGGTGTCATGCTAACAGTCACTGGCGTGCACATTTGGTTATCTCTTTCTCAGGTTCAGTTCCACTTCATTATTTACAATTTCTATCTTTTAGGCTGTCACCCAATTGTGGGGCCTTACACATGCTACAAGCTGTGAATTGGCAAGAGGTTTTCTCCACTGAGTGGAGCAATAATAGCAGCATCTTTATCTCATGTCCCTTTCTTGTAATAATTGACACACTCAGGTTAGATTCAATTCACGACTCGAGTAGACGGTTTGGCATAAATGAATGAACACACACAAAAGAAGTCGACAACCACACAAAGCATCACTGAGACTCAGTAGTTGAGAAGGAATGGCGCAGAAGATTAAAGTAAAGAGCGACATCGTGTCATCTCGTCTCAGCGCTATGGGCGTCACCTCAACGAATTGAGGTCACAGTAGGAGAGGAAGTGAGTCGTTCCCTGGTTCTCGAATTGCAGCGTGCTTGTTGCAGTGTGGATGCTACACTTGGACAAGCCATAAATGATCCACATTATTATATCGAGTACAGGTGTGCAGACTCTGCCTGGTCACCCCAACTCTTCTGCATGGGATCTATCAAGACACGGGCCAATGACCAGTGGTTGTACTGGGCTGGTTGGAAGACGTTTTACGCATTCAGAATGAGTTATGACATTTGGCACAATTTGATCATCATTGTGCATGAGGATACGCTTGCGCAATCATTTACGTCAGTGAACAAATCAGCGCATTCACACACTCCAGCTCACAACAAATTATTGTTACTCAAAATCGACTAGGTAGAATGTTGGCGATGGTGGAGATGGAATCCTCCGCAATGTGAATTCCACAGATTTCCAATTTATTATAGGGATGTAGTAAAATACTAGCCCATGTCTTCCACTTCTGCCATGCACTGGATATCGAATGCTTTCTGCAGCAACCTTGGTTAAAAGACGTCATGCGAATGGGATCCACCATCTCCTCTGATCATGACGAGAATTGCCGTGACTGTGCCATTACTTGCTGTGCCCAATTTTATTCAGCAATTCGTCTATTACTTTCATCTGTGTAATGCCCATAATTACAGCATCAAGAGAAGTAAATGACGATAAAATTCTCAGCAAAGTGATTCCGCAAGTGTGGTAAACACTCGATTGTGTGAATGCTACAAACCATTTGGATTGCGACCGAGTGGAGTGGGCAAGGCTAAATGGGAGCTACTTTTGCAATATATCTTCGTTCACCCAATCGCGCACCTGTCAAGAAGGACAACAACAGCCGAGTTGACAGCGGACTAGGACTAGTTTGGGTGGATTGCATCATGAAGCTGCCCGTGACACCCATCTAATGATGTTGGTTATGTGAAGCATCAGCATAAGCTCCAGGCCAGTATAAACTGAGTGGAACACAAATTAGATGGGTTGATGAGTGGAAGGCAGCACGACAGTGAACTGACAATCATGCACAGGAGGTGTGGGCGCAATACATCAGCTCCCTCAGAATGCTTCACTTTTTGCCGTTTGTAAGTGTCTCTTCTCATAGGCCAATCGCATGCAGGATGCTTCGTCCTGTAACTTCACCTCTTCACCAGCTGTTTGAGTGCATTGCATTGTCATTCCCCAAAGTCGTTCATGAATTGAAAGCAATTGTGTGCATGGTGAGATTGCTGGGACGAATCGATGACGCCCTTATCAAATACCTTCTCACATACAAGAACATTCAATAACTAGGAGTGACTAAGTCCCGATGGCCACCGCTGAAAGTTGGTCAAGAGCATCGCCATGGCAGAAGCTGAGAAGAAGTGGATGTATGTAGCGATTCACTGTTTTGTTTAAGTGCGTGTTTGAATGCGCAGATACCTCAGTACCTGCAGTTTGTCATTCTACCCACTGACATGTCATGATTATTAATATGCTATTGCAAGTGCTTCTTCACAGGACTTTGATTTTCTGCAAATTCACCCGGTACTCCGAACATGACTAATTTCATGCGGAGCGCAAATTAACAGCTGAGCAACAATAAAACTTACAAAATTTGACATTGCACTGCAAGAAGGTCATGATTTATTTCAACAGTGAACAGCATCTCAATTCCTTTACTTGAATTAAGCAGCAAATTGAGGATACTAAATGGGACAATTAAATGAAATCAAAATAAGGAAATAAATGCAATAAATGCGGGTAAACTACTTAACTTGGAACAGTGGGAACTTGAATGTAAAACGAAAGCCATTCGTAGGTATCCTTGGCACCATTTTGCAGTTGTGCAGCAGAGAATATCTGTGGTGGGTTTATGCACGACAGACTCCGATCTCACCCACCTCAGTTGATGCTTTAATGGGTATTTGCACAAGACGATGAGTTGCTTGCACGACAAATAGGGCATGCCTATATTGGGGTACAATTTACACGACTTGTCAAATTTACTTA